TTCAAGGGCATTTATATTTCTATATGAATTTCACATTCAGATAATTAGTGTCTATAAAAACACGCTGAGACTTTGATCAATACTGCATTGAGCTGTAGATAAATTTGAGAATAGATGCCTTAACAACACTGAGCTTTCCAGTCCATGAGCATAGTACATTGCTCAATCTATTTAAGTCTTCTTAAATTTTTTTCAATGTTTTATGTTTTGTCAGATTACCCCTAAAGAGTTTGTCTTTTTGATACTATCATAACTGGCAGTTTTTACTATTAGTTTCTAATTATTCATTGCTGAAATGTAGAAATACAATTGATTTTTGTATGTTGATCTTAAATTCTGCAGTCTTACTAAGTTTACTATTTCAATAACTTAAAATTTTTAAATTGTATTTATGTATTTATCTATATATGTGTATATATGTGTATGTGGGCATGTGCATGACGTGGTGTGTGGAGGTCAGAGGACAACTTGCATAAGTTTGCTCTCTTCTTCTACCATGTGGTTCTGGGGATTGAACTCAGGCTTGGTGGCAAGTGCCTTTACCTGCTGAGCCACCTTGCTGGCATGCTGATAGTATGGTAGTAACAAAAGGATAGACAAATAGCTTGATGGAACAAATTAGTTAACCTACAGTTAATTACCTGAAGAGCTGATATTTGACAAAGGTGCAAGGCAGGACAAAGGAGAAAGGATAGTTCTGTCTACAAGTGATGGTAGAATTATTGGCTACCTGTGTGAAAACCAAAAAGAAATGAAAAGGAACTTTTATCCATACCTTACACCATTTTAAAAAACCTCAAAAAACTTAAAATGGTGTATAAGCCACATGTAAAAACCAAAAACCATAAAATGCTAGAATGAAACAGAGGAGAAAATTAAAAAATCTTTGGCTTGGGCAAAAATTTATTAGATAAAACATCCACGACACAATCCATAAAGGAAAAACTTGTCAGATCGACATTCATCAAATAAAAAACCTTATTTTCCTCCAAAGACATTGCTAAGGGGATTAAACTACAAGTCACAGTGTGAGAAAATCTTTGTGAAGTGTATAGAGAACTTGCATCTAGAATGTATGTAAAGAATTATCTTCTCAAAATTCAATAATAGGAAAAATAAGTAAGTCAATAAAAAATAGGCAAAAGATTCGAGAAAACACTTTAGCAAAGAAGATAAACAGATGGCACATGAAAAATTGCTCAATGTCGTTATCACTAGAGAAAATCTACGAGAAACCACTACATGTATGTTAAAATTCAAAAAATGACCATACCAAGATCTAGATGGATGTGGAGCAGCTAGTGTTCTCGCTCATTGCTTATGGGAATGTAAAACAGTGTGTTGGCTCCTCAGAAAGTTAAACATGCACCTATCAGATGGATGCACCATCCCATTGATAGATGTGCCATCCCATTGATGGATGCGCCATCCCATTGCTAGGTCTTTACCTGAAGAAATGAGAGTTTATTCCAGTGAGACTCATAGGAGAGCTGTAGAAGCTGTGTGTATAATAGCACCAAACTATAAAGAATCCAAATGCCCCTCATAGGATAGATGAATAGGTATCAAATTGTCTGCAATGAGATGGACTTAACAACAGAGAAGAACACACTATTGGTGCATGCATCAATCTGTACAAGTCTTGCAGTAACTGTGTTAAGTAAAAGAAGCCAGAATAAAAAGAGTTCCTACTGTGTAATTCCATTATCAAAGTTCTAGGAGAAGCAAACTGACCTTCAGTGACAGCAAATAGTCAACCTGCTGCTTGGAGACTGGAAAGGGAACCAGAAAGGAACAAGAGGGAGGACCTGAAAGGAAGCTTTGGAAGGTGGTGGTATTTCTTATTTTGACTGTGATGATGGTTTCATATATATATATAAAATATATGAAATATATATATATATATATATCTGTATTAGCTTTTCATTGCTGTGACTAAAATATCTGATAGAAGCAACTTAGGGGAGGAAAGTTTTGTTTTGGTTGGTGCTTTGAGAGTTTCCATCCCTTGTGGCAGGCAAGACTTAGTGGAACAGCTCAGTTCATGTTGATAGAAGCATGTGGCAGATGTTCACACCATGACAGGCCAGGAAGCAGATAGCAAGGCCCAACCCTGGGGCCAGGTTATCATTTCACAGGCCCATGCTCAGTGATGTACTTCTACCCCCTAAGCTCCACCTATCAAAGATTCCGTGGCCTCCCAAAATATCACTACCATCTGAGAAACAAGCATTGACAACATGAGTCTGTGGGGAATATCAGATTCAAACCGTAACGGTGCACAAGACTATGCTTTAAACATGTACCATGATGTTATGTCTGTTCTACTCAGTGAAGCTGTCTTAAACATTCAGTAGAAGGCTTGCAAGAGTAAGCTTAAAATATTCCCAGGAAAACTAAATGATGAAGAAATGTGAAATATGAGGGAGTGAGAAAAAGACAGACATGTACAGCTCCTACCCACTGTCTTTGTTCTGAGATTTCATTGTAGTGTATTTAATTATTTATGCCTTTTGGTTTATCTTTCTTGCTATTCAATGAGTCTTTTGAGCTTGGAGATTTGTGCCTCTTCAGATCTTAGAAATATCCTTTTGTTTTTTTTTTTGGCAATGTCAGCTCAGGAACTGGAAAGAGAGCTCTCTGTCTCCCCCTCCCTCCCTGACTTCCTTCCTTCCTCCCTCCCTCCCTCCCTCCCTCCCTCCCTTCCCAGGGCCCCATGAATGCTAAGCAAGCACTCTACCACTGAGCCCTTGGGTTTAGGTATTACAGAAGACAGGGGTGAGATCAGAAAATGCATAGTATCAAATCTCCACATCTTTACTTTAGCTCAAGCAAAGAGACATCTACTCCTCCAGACTCCCATAGTGATTGGGACAAATACTTGGGAGAAATTGAATCAGAGAACATGTGGACTTGAGGATACAAGGTCAGAAAAGGCTGTAGTGAAGAGTGGAAGAAGGGAAATGAGTTAATTCTCCTCCTGTTCCTAAATGCTAGTGGCTGGGTGTAAATCACTCCATCCAGAAGATGAGAAAACTTTATATCCTTTAGAGAACTTAAACCATATCATAGAAAAATCTATAGTTTAACTGTTGGAAGAGTCAAGTTATAAAAACAGGCTAGCCACTGACCCATGCCTGATCATTGCATATGTATACAAAGGTTTGAACAACCTTTAGGATCTCATTCTGAAATGTGAACCAGAAGCCAAGGATCCTTGAGCATTTGTGGAAAGCCTTCAACATGAAGAGGAAGGTACACATCAGAAATAGAGGGCCAGGCATGGTGGCACAGTACTTTAATCCCGGCACTGGGTGACAAAAGTAGGCTGATCTCTGAGCTTGAGGTGAGCCTGGTCTATACATAGCGAGTTCCAGGTTAGTCAGGGCTATATAGTGAGGACCCTTTCTCAAAAAAAATTTTTTTTGTGTGTTTATAAAAAAATGCAAGATGCAATAAGAGAGGGAAAATAAGAAAAGTCTTATTAAAGTCTTGCTCATTCTCTGGCCAAGAGTCATTGTCTTCAGTTGTGTACACACTGTTGACCTCACCAGGCTCCAATGGACAGTTCCCATCGACTGTCACACACAAAAGTCATGAATCTAGGAAAGAAGCCTTCTCTAGGGAGAAGCAGGGGAGATGACAAAGATAGGAGGGAGATGAGGGAGGGTGTGGGGAGACAATAATCAGAATGCATTATATACATGTATGAACTTGTCAAAGAACAGCCAGTGAGATAGCTCAGCAGTTAAAGATGTTTGTCACTAAGTTTGACAACCTGAGTTCAGCCCCTGGGACTCGCATTGTGGAAGGAGAGCTGACTCTTGAAAGTTATCCTTTGACCTCCACATGCTCATCATGGTAGTGTTTGCAAGATACACACACACACACACACACACACACACACACACAGAGTTGGTTTAAATATATCATATAGCACCAGGTGACTCCAGAGTGCCTCAGGAACAGGTTCTGTATCCAAGGAATTCAAGGTGGGGCTGCTGCTTTCTTTGTAAGCCTTACTGCTGGGTGTGCGGTAGACAGTACTGCATGCCTGGAGCACAGTACCTCTCCCCAGGATCGAAAGGACTGATGTGGTACTGGTGTGTGTGGTGGGAAGTTAGCCCGTATGTCACAGGGCCAGGGACAGCCTGCCTCGGCCTCTCCAGATTCATGCCCTGTTCATCCTCCAAACCCCACATAGAGAGGAGGAGCAGAAGTTGCCATCTATTAGTGACAAATTTTGTTTGCTGGACCTTAACATGGGCCCGGAAGGTGGTGACCTAGCCTTCTCTTCTGGACTTGATCCTGGAAGGACCTGCAGTGAAAAGCACTGGTTTGTCCCCCTGCGCCCCTGTGGAGCTGCCAAGACCTGATGTCTTTTCCCTCTGGCTGGTTCATCAACATGAGGGGCAAGGCTGCTGGGCAGGGTGGGCAGTTTCCATGCTGCCCACAGGCTTCTGGCCTGAGTGACCAATGGGACTAAATATAATAGCTGTGCGTTGAAGGCAGTTGAGGCTGGTCTTGAGATTGAAGTTCAGATCTTCAGCATTGGGTTTAGACAGTCCTGTACTTTGGTTGTTTTTGTTTTGATTTGTTTTGAGACAGGGTCTTAAGTAGCCCAGGCTAACCTCAAACTCCTCATATAACTCCTTATATAAGTAGCCTTGTAACTCCTAATCTTCCTGCCTCTACCCTCCCAAGTGCTGGAATCATAGGAATATGCCCACACACTGGGCTCCCCATTTTGTTAAGCAGTTTGTGCCATCAGCTGCTGGGGTGTGGATGGAAGCACCTCATTTTCCTTCACCAGGGTGACATTTCCTGTCTTGGAACAGGTGCAGGTTCTTGGACACAGAGGCCCTGCATTTCTAGGTGAAGCCTTTCCTCCACCCACTAGCTATGGTTCCTCCAAGCTGGACGTTACAAGGGTTGTGGAAGTCCTGGGGCGGGAAGCTGTTGTGGGGAGAGTTTCTGAGTCCTAGAACATCCCTGTTTAGAACATGAATGGCTTTGAGGAGGGTGTGGAGTTCCTGCCTGTGAACAACGCCAAGAAAGTGGAAAAGCGAGGCCCCAGGCGCTGGGTGATTCTGGTGGCCGTGCTGGTCAGCTTCCTCTTGCTCTCACTCATGGCTGGCTTGCTGGTGTGGCACTTCCAGTGTAAGTACAGAGGGGGCTGGCTGTGGGGAGAGTGACATGGTAATGGATTTTCCTCTTAGTGGACAGACCCACAGGCCACCTGTGATGTGCAGGGAAAGAATGGGGGAAAGGGAGAGGGAGGATGGGTGGAGGGAAGTGTGGGAAAGGTTCTAGGGCACTGCCTCTTGAGCCCTTTCAGGCCATGACAGTGGTGGGGGGGCTGGTCAGAGCTGGCTCCCCTTGGCATTTGCCTTGGCATTCATTTCTCCCAGCTGAGGGCAGCAAGGTTAGGCTAGGTGGAGGCTAGGTGTCACTGTTTATGACCACCTCCTGGCCTCTAGCAGACCGGAATGTGCGGGTCCAGAAGGTCTTCAATGGCTACCTGAGGGTCACAAATGAGAACTTTCTGGATGCCTATGAGAATTCGAATTCCTCGGAGTTTAAAAGCTTGGCCAACAAGGTGAAGGAAGCGGTGAGTTTAATCTTGGAACAAGTTCCCTGCCCTGTGCCCCAGCACCTCCAGCCCCACTAGGTAGAAGGGACACTTCCCATCTTTGCTCCCAGAGTTCTGGTGGGGGTGGGGAAGGGCTAGCAGAGAAGCCCAAGTCCCAGGAGGAGAGGGAACAGCCTGGGCTTGGGCAAGGGTCACTTATGCTCTTTGGCCTGTTGTGAGCCATGTCACCTCCCCCTCAGCTGATGGTGATGTACAGTGAAATCCCTGTCCTGGGCCCCTACCACAAGAGGTCAGCTGTAACTGCCTTCAGGTAAGTCCTGGGGAAGGTATAGGTGGTGGTGGTGGGGTTGACTCTGGATAGGATTAGTGTGTCTGTCTTTTGTGCAAGTGACTTAGTACACGTGCTTTCCTTTCTTCAAGGCAGGTGCTGGTGGAGTGACTTCACAAACACTGCTTTTTTCTTTTTAAATATTTATTCTTTACATGTATGTGTGAATGTCTGTGTGCATGTATGCTACGTGTGTATGAGTGCATGTGGAAACAGAAGAAGGTGTCAGATCCCCTGCAGCTGGAGTTTCAGGTGGTTGTGAACCTCCCAGCATGGGAACTGGGAAGCAAACTCAGGTCCTCTGTAAGAACCATCTCCCCCGCTCCCACAGACATTACTTTTATACAGTGCCTGCCACATGCAGTGCCTTCAGGAAGAGCCTTGGTTTTTCAGATTTGAGTGTGAGGGAGTTGGGATGCCTAGGAAGGCTTCCATTGCAAATACTTTTTTCTTTTTAGTAGACTTTTTGCCCAAAGTATTGATTTGTATTTGTTGGGCTTCTGCAGCACTGGGGATGGACCCATGGACTCACCTATGTAAGACAAGCACTTTAGTGCCAAGCTATACTCCAGCCCACCTCCCCACTTTTGAGACAAGCTTTCACTCTGTTGCCTAGGCTGACCTTGGACTTGTGGGCTTGAGTGACCTTCCATTCTCAGCCTCCCCAGTTGCTGGGACTATAGGCTAGTACTCCCAAAGTGGTTTTTTGTTTGTTTTTGTTTTTGTTTTGTGCTGTAGATTGACCACAGAGCCTTACTGATGCTAAGCACTCTTCCACGGAACTAACATGGTTTGCTTTTTCTTTTACTTTTCTGGAAACAGGGTCTCCCTGAACGGCACAGGCTGGCCTCAAATTCACAATCCCCCTGGCTCAGCCTCTTGATTATCTGGGATTGCAGGTTTGTGCTGCCACACCCAGCTCCAAAGTACTTTTTATTGCTTCTTGTTCACTGGAAGCTTCTGGAATGCTGGGTGGCAAGTGGCATTCTCACCCCATCTGAGATCTGAAAAGACTCAGAAGGATACTTTCTGCACACTGTGAGCCCAAGCCCAACCCAAATTGTTTCTCCTCACTCCTAAACTTAAGCTGGTCCCAGGATATGTCTGCTTGGGGGGGTGAGACTTTCTCTCGGGTCAGTCTGAGCTGCCCTGGTGATGTGGAACGTGGGTCAGAAGGATACTTTCTGCACACTGTGAGCCCAAGCCCAACCCAAATTGTTTCTCCTCACTCCTAAACTTAAGCTGGTCCCAGGATATGTCTGCTTGGGGGGGGTGAGACTTTCTCTCGGGTCAGTCTGAGCTGCCCTGGTGATGTGGAACGTGGGTGTCCGGAGTCCTCCCACCACCTTCTCAGGCTCTCCCCTATCTCCCTAGTGAGGGCAGTGTCATTGCCTACTACTGGTCAGAGTTCAGCATCCCCCAGCACCTGACAGAAGAGGTGGAGCGGGCCATGGCTGTGGAGCGAGTGGTCACATTGCCACCCAGAGCACGGTCACTAAAATCCTTCGTGCTGACCTCTGTGGTGGCCTTCCGTGAGTCTGGGGCAGGCCAGGGTGGGAATGTGTGGGCCAGTTTGCAGAGAAGTGAGGCGGGGAGAGCAACGTTTACAGGCCCAGGTGCCCTGGAGGATTCTGCTTGCTGGTTGGCACCTCCCTTTGGGTAATAAGGATGTTAAATAAGGAAATAGACGGTGTCAGTGAAATGTCCCCCTTCTTGTTTTTCAGCCACTGACCCCAGAATGCTGCAGAGGACTCAGGACAGTAAGTGTCGTGTTGGCCACAGGTAGAGAAGAGCAGGACTCTGGCCAGATGCCCCTTGAACCATTGGGGCTCCCAGAAGTCAGATGGTGCTGATGGCCAGACATTTCTTCTCTTCTTCCCATCCCTTCCAAGAAGTCTTCTTCCTTGTGTCTCCCTGGACCCAGGGAATCCTGGGATGTCTTGGGGTGGGACAGGCCTGGGGTATGGTCTATTGTATCCACACTTTCCTTCTGTCTTGTCTCCTGCACAGACAGCTGCAGCTTTGCCCTGCATGCCCGTGGTGGGGAGCTGACACGCTTTGCCACCCCTGGCTTTCCTGACAGCCCCTACCCAGCTCATGCACGCTGCCAGTGGGTCTTGCGGGGCGATGCTGACTCCGTGCTGAGCCTCACCTTCCGAAGCTTTGATGTCGCCCCCTGTGATGAACAGGGCAGTGACCTGGTCACAGTGTATGACACTCTGAGCCCCATGGAGCCCCATGCTGTGGTGCGGTGAGTGTCCTGGCCCTGTTGGGATGGGCCATCTGAACCAGTTATGGTGTTGGTTTGGAATATGGTTTTTGACTTTTGGCCATAGGCCATTTCAAAATATCCAGACAACAGAGGGCAGGTGTTTTGCACACCAGCAGGACTCCAAGGAGTTGTCCAGGAGATCCCTCAGGTTTGGCCCTGGCCAGGATGGTGCAAATCCAGCCTGGACATCACAGGCTTCTCCAAATGCCAAGAGAACATGGGCCTGCTGCTGTAAAGGCAGCTTTTATTATCAAGCAGACATAGCGAAGGCTGCAGCTTGGGGGACAGTTGCCATCAAAACGACTGCTTGTTACAGTTCCCAAGAGCAGGGGACATGGCACAACATATGGCACAGCATAGCATGCAGGGTGACACAGGAAGCTCCAGGGTCAGTCGGGGGGCAGAAGTATAAGGAGGACTGTGATGATTCACACAGGGGGGAAAAGCGGGTATGGAGGGAACAGGATGTGGATTGGCTGTCCTGATCGTCCAGAGGCTCTGGAGTCAGGGCTCCTGTTAGTTGTCTGCTCCCAGGCTCTGCACATGAGAGCCTGGTGGGGGAGGTGTGCGGCCCTGGATTGCTCGTTGGTAGCCTATGAAAGGTTGGCAGGCGAGTGTCTAATAGTCTCTAGGAACTGGTTAGTTCTGTGAAGGCAAAGCCACAGATGTCAGAGCATCAGAATTATAGAAAATCAAAACGTTTCATTAATATACCTACTTTGGAAGCTGGCTTGAGATGATTAGCCCCATGTCAGGATGGAGTTCTCACACCTGTCAGAAGTGCTGTGCTGGGGGATGGTCAGCCTTTCTTGATGCAGTGGGCCAGAGCTTTCCATCAGTCTCAGTGGAAATTGAAGCCAAGATAGAACCATCTTTTACCACAGTTTAGCAGTCAGGGCTAAGCACCTTTCCCATCTCTCTCTGTAAGCATCTTTCTACATCTGCTAATTATGTAAAAAAAAGAAATATATAATTCCCCTTCCCCAAAACAAAGTATAATAAGTAAATAAGTTTAAAAAAAGAAATTCTAGGAGGAAAAAAGTAGAAATCAACAAGCAAAAGGATAACAAGTCATCCCTGACTGTCTTGTTTTCTTTTCCATTGTGTGTTTCGCTCACAGTTCCAGGTTCCAGTCCATAATGGCAGGGATGCCACAGTGGCTGGGGCTGGAGGGAGCTGGTTCCATTTCATCCAATCAAGAAGCAGAGAGTGACAAGGGCATGCTCTCTCTTTCTCCATTTTACATAGTCCAGGATTCCCACCAGGGAAGGTGCTCATCCTCCAGGGGTGAATCTTCCTACCTCAGTTAACACAATCATCTCCCAGGTGATTCTACATTCTGTCAAGTTGACAACCATCACACTGCCTTCATCTCTCAGTGTCCAGGAACAACCACTGCTAAGTTTTTGATGTTATACCAGACTCTTGTATATATGTGCTTGTCTTTAGAAGGATTATACTGTACATTTGGCTGTTTCCTGTTCTTTCCAGGTCAGTTTACATGACTCTAAGCCTCATTTTCTCTAATTGCCTAGTGCAGCACTGTTTAGAGGCAGCGGGACACAGTCATTAGCACTGTGGGCTCTTGAATGCCTGAGCTTATACTCCACCCCCCCCCCCCCCCCCCCCCCCCCCCCCCCCTCCCCCCTTTTTTTTTTTTTTTTTTTTTTTTTTTTGTCTTTTTGAGACAGGGTCTCCCTGTAGCCTCAGCTGTCCTGGATTCACCATGGAGACCAGGCTGGCCTCGAACTCACAGAGATCCACCTACCTCTGCCTCCCGAGTGCTGGGATTAAAGGCATGCGCCACCAGGCCCGGCCCACTTTTTTGTTTTTAATTCTATTTAATTTAGTTTATTATTATTGGTGAATCAGGGGAGGAAGAGAGCTATGTGGGAATATGAATGCCATAGTGCATGTGTGGAAGTCAGAAGATAACTTCATGGAGTTGGTTCCATCCTTCCACCTTTACATGGGTTCTGGGGATGGACCTCGGGTTGTTAGGCTCCTGGCAGTGCTTTTGCCTCTGAGCCATCTTGCCTACTTTTTGCCGTTTATTAACCATGGAATCTTGGGCCGACTCTATAGAGTTGCTATGAAGATTATGAGTCAACAGATATAAAAGCACAGGTTGGGTCTGTAGCTCAGTGGTAAAGCACTTGTGTGAGGCAGAGTTCACCCCCAGCGACAAACCAACTAAACAAGCAAACAAGCACATAAACACCAACCACTAAAAATGATATCTGGCATGTTCTTTTTTTTTAAAGATTTTTAAAAAAAAATTCATGTATATGTGTGTGTATCTGTGTGAATGAATGCTGTGTGTGTGTGGGGGGGTACCCTCAGAAGCCAGAAGAGGATGTCAGATCCTCTGATGCCAGAGCTACAGGTGGTTGTGAGCTGCCCAAAATGGGTGGTGGAAACTGAGTTTGGTTCTTCTGCAAGAGCAGCATGTGCTCTTAACTGCTGAGCCATCCCTCCTGTCTTTGTTCTGCATGTTCTTAAGAAAGTATTAAGAACTGGATATGATGGTGCACACCTCCCAGGACTCGGGAAGCAGGGGGATATCTGTGAGTTCAAGGCCAGCCTGGTCTACATAGCAAGTTCCAGGCCAGCAGGGGCAACAGGGAGACCATATCTCAAAAAAAGAGAAAGTGTTAAGAATAAGTTCTAGCTGTCTGTCTGGTGACAGCTGTCAGTCAGTTTGGGTGCCTCAAAGGGAACTGTGGAAGAAGAAGCAGCCCGGTATGGTGCACTTACTTTTGAGGTTTGCTGCTGGCAGTTTGCCAGCTCTCTGTACTCCACCAGGTCAGATGAAGTGTGCCAACTGCATATAAGGCCAAGCAAGGTTATGCCACATGCAGGATTTGTGGCCCCCATGGTGGCTACAAACACCAAGTTTCTAAGGTGCAACTTATGGCAAGCCTGTCCATCATGGTACTAAGCAGCTGAAGTTTGCCTGAAACCTTCAGTCTGTTGCCAAGGAAAAAGCTGGACAGCACTGTGGGGCTCTGAGGGACTCAGACTCTTATTAGCTTGGAGAAGATTCCACACGTACAAATTCTTCGAGGTTATCTACATGGATCCATGTCATCAAGCTATTGGAAAAAATCCTGACACCCCATGGATGATCACTAGAGCAGTCCATAGACTCAGGAGATGTGTGGGCTGGTATCTGCAGGCCTCAAGAGTTGTGGCCTTGAAATTACCACAAATTCCAACACCTGTCTCAAAATACAGTCTCACTTTGTAGCCCAGGCTGGCTTTGAATTCAGAATCCTCTTTCTTCAACCTCCCATGTGCTGAGATCACAGACATGTGTTAGTATGCTTAGCTCTTTTGAAGATTTTTTGACTTCACCTTTTGTGTATGGGTCTAGAGTTAGGATGAGGTCTATATTAGTTAATTTTATGAGGCTGTGATAAAATACTATGACCAAGGCAATTTTTAGAAGAAAGAGTTTGTTTGGGTTAATGGTTCCAGAGGGATAAGAGTCCATCATGGTGGGTGGCATGGCAGCAGATGCGTCTCAGCTAGAGCATAAAGCTGAGAGCTCACATCTTCAGTCACTCACAGGAAGCAGAGAGAGGGCCAACTAGAAGTGGGGCAAGGCTATGAGCTCTCAAAGCCCATCTCCAGTGGGGTGCTTCCTCCAACAATTCTGTACCTCCTAAATCTCCATGAACAGAGAAATCAAATGGGACCAAATGGGAGACATTTCTCATTCAAACTGCCACAGGGTCCTTGGGCCTCTCTGTATGAAGCTGAGTTGCGTATGAAAAGTCTGAATTCTGTCTCTGTCACTAATGCTGTCCCTCTACCCTGCAGGCTGTGTGGCACCTACGCTCCCTCCTACAACCTGACCTTCCTCTCCTCCCAGAACGTCCTCCTTGTTACACTGATAACCAACACTGACCGGCGACACCCTGGCTTTGAAGCAACCTTCTTCCAGCTGCCCAAGATGAGCAGTAAGAATGGGAAGGGGGTGATATTAGACATGTTCCCAGGTTGCAGAGAGAGTGTAGGCCTTAGAGGGTTGCCTGAGCCCAGAAGGCTGGCAGACTGGCCCTTGTCAGCAATAGGCTTGAAGCTGGACCAAAGGGCATTTTGTGGACTACACAGATCAGGGACCATCCTTAAATCAGTTAGCCTCTGAGCACTCTGTAGAAGTGCAGTGTTCAATATGAAGACAGGTGGTTTGTGGCCTCAAGCTATTCTCAGGGTGTAGTGCTCTTTCCACACCCTCTGGCTGAGTGGTCCTTGATCTTCAAGCTTTCTCTTGTCTTTCCTCTCAGGCTGTGGAGGCTCCTTGAGTGAAGCCCAAGGGATGTTTAGCAGCCCCTTCTTCCCAGGCCACTACCCACCCAACATTAACTGCACGTGGAATATCAAGGTAGGAATTATGTGTGTGCATGTGTGTACACGTGCACTTGCGTGTGTGTGTGTGTGTGTGTGTGTGTGTGTGTGTGTGAGAGAGAGAGAGGGAGAGAGAGAGAGAGAGAGAGGTTTGTGCCCAGGACCACACCTGGGGAAGAGCAGGAGTGGAAAGATGACCCCTTTAGCAAACCAAAGAGTCATGTTTATGAGCCCCCCAAGCCCAGGGTCTTCTGCTGTAGGACCAGCCACCCCCAGATTCATGTCTTAGCTCCTTGATTGGTGACTGACTGAGAGAACTTGGGACACTTATTTGTCCTCTTTGCCTCAGCCTGCTCCTGAATAAAGTGAGGGTGAGTATCTGTGTCTAAGAGGTGTTGTCAGAATGGTTTTATAGAATGTGTGTGAAGTAGAGCAAGACCTTGAATAGCACTAGGTAAGAGCGTTCTGCCTGTAGGTGCCACTTGCCTCACCCCAATCAGAGATCCAGACTTTTCTTTCCTTAAAAATGTTGCGGGGGGAGGGCTGGAGAGATGGCTCAGTGGTTAAGAACACTGTTCTTGCAGAAGACGTGAATTCGAATCCCAGCACCCACATGGCAGCTAACAACCATCCGTAACTCCAGATCCAGGGGATATGACAGCCTCTTCTGTCCTCCTTGGGCATTGCACAACATGGGTGCATTTACCTACATGCAGGCATAACAACTCATACACATTAAAAAAAAAATGTTGGGACAGGGCTGGAGAGGCAGCTCAGTGGTTAAGAGCACTGGCTGCTCTTACAGAGGACTCAGATTCAGTTCCTAGCTCCCACATGGTGGGTCCATAACTGGGTCCATAACTCAGTTCCAGGGATTCTGATGCCCTCTTCTGCTTTCCATGGGTATTGCATAACATGGGTGCACTTACATATATGTAGACAATACACTCAATACATATTAAAAAAATAAATAAAAATAAAGATAATAATAACAGCAGTAACAACAACAAACCAAACAGCAACAAAAAGAAAACCTTTATCATAGATATGTAAATATATGAAAAAAATCATAGTGCAAATGAGATTAGGTACCCTACTCCATCCAGCATCCCCCCACCCCCCAAGAAGTCTTTGGGGTTAAGAAATAGAGAAAGAAGCTGGGTGTGGTGGTACATGCCTTTAATCCCAGCACTTTGGAGGCAGAGGCAAGCTGATCTCTGTTAGTTCGAGGCCAGCCTTGTCTACATAGTGAGTTTCAGGCCTGCTGGGGCTACAGGGAGACCCTGTTTCAAAAAGACCAAAAAAAAAAGAACTAGAGAAAGAAGCCAGAGTCCCCAGTGTATCTCTCTGTCCAGGTGCCCAACAACCGGAATGTGAAGGTGCGTTTCAACTTCTTCTACCTTGTGGATCCTAACCTACCACTAGGTGCCTGCCCTAAGGACTATGTAGAGATCAACGGGGAGAAGTGAGTCTCTGGGATGCAGCCATCAGCCTTAGCACTGGAGGTTGTTGGGCAGAGTACCCCCAGTGCCCTGCCAGTGGACTCGCCCTCAGCCTCACACCTCTCCTCTAGGTACTGTGGAGAAAAGCCCCAGTTTGTTGTCAGCAGTAATAGCAGCAAGATCACAGTCCGCTTCCATTCTGATCAGTCTTACACGGACACTGGGTTCCTAGCTGAGTACCTCTCCTACGACTCCAATGACCGTGAGTAAAGGCTGTCGGCTGATGGTGGGAGGGACTGGCACAGGGCACACTGTTCTGTGTCTTTGCAGTACTGTGCTTCCTGTGAAAGAATGGAGACTGTAAGGTGTATCTCACTATACGCATTAGAGGAAAGCACATTTATTTACAAAGGCTGGGGTGGGAATGTAGCTCTGTGGTAGAGTGCTTGCCTAGCATGTGTGAGCCTCTGCCTTCAACCCAGCACCACTACAACAAAAGAATGAAAGCAAATTCTTCATGCCCTGTCCTTCATGCCTGCTTCCCACAGGGAGGGACCTGGAGCCCAAGGACTTTCCTCCTTCACTCCCTAGGGCTACACCTTCTTGGTTCAGCATCACTGTGACTTTGAGAATTGTTTTTCTCTTTGGGAACTTATAGCACTTTTAGGAATAATTGTGTAATTTTGAAACACTAGAAAATACCGTCAACTGTGTGAACAGAAATCCATCAACATACTTACTACAGGTCGAATATCCCCTATCTGAAATGCTTGGGATCACAAGAGTGTCGGGTTTCAGATTGAACAAACTTTTAAGAGTATTTGCATATACACAGTGAGATATCTTGAGAATGGAACCCAAGTCTAAAGCATGAAATTCAGGGCTGGGGAGATGGCAAAGACAGTAAAGTGCTAGCTGTACAGCATGAGAACCTAAGGGTGGGTCCCCAACACCCACGTGAAAGCCCAGTGCACATGTATAGCCAGAGCTTGGGAGGTGGAGACAGGCCAGTGGGTCCCTGGAACTCATTGGTCAGCCAGTGTAGCTGAATTGATGAGCTCTACGTTCAATGAGAAAGCTTGTCTCAAAAGATGAGGTGGAGAGTGATTGGGGAAGACACTTGACTTCAGCTTGAACCATGAGGTCGGGTGCGTGACTCTACCTGTGGCATTCAGATTCTGGAGGATTCTGGACTTCAGTGTTTTGGATGAGGAATGTTCAAGCTATAGGTTTTGGGTTTTTTTTTTTTGTCTTTTTGAGACAGGGTCTCCCTGTAGTCCCAGCTGACCTGAACTATGTAGACCAGGCTGGCCTTGAACTCACGACGATCCACCTGCCTCTGCCTTCTGAGTGCTGGGGTTAAAGGCATATGCCACCACACCCGGCCAAGCTGTAGTTTTTAATTTCAATGTTACATCACAGAATAACCTTTTGAAGGCATTTTAACCCAACTTAGGATCCACTTTAATTTAAAATGCAACTGCATTGTTTCCTCAAGTCTAATTGGATAAACAGATAACTTTGATGTAAGAACACAGTTTCATGGGCAGTGACAGCATCCTTCCCACAATTTGTCCTCCACCCCAGGTGCAATTGCCAGGCACACTGTGTTTCAAGAACACTGAGATATAGATCATATCTTAGCATGAAGAAAATACTGATGTGGGCTTTACTTGGCTAGGACACACGCACTGTGGACCTGCAGGCAGTTTATCTTGTCACAGGTCTCTGTCTAGTAACATACAGGGCAGTGAGGGGACTGTGAATGCAGCCAGTCTTCCTCCCCCATACTGTACTCTGTGCAGTCAGTGGTCAGGGCCACCTGCCAACCCTACCTGCTCTGCTGGTGTAGGAGCCCCCTCTGTCAGGTTGAGCCTCAATGCCTGCCTCTGTGCTTGCGAGCTGAGGCTTCAGTGGGGTTGCAAGGTGGCTACTGGGGAGATGGGGGAACCATGGACTTCAGGCCTCTCTGTTCCTTGTAGCATGCCCAGGGATGTTCATGTGTAACACTGGACGGTGCATCCGCAAGGACCTGCGCTGTGATGGCTGGGCAGACTGCACGGACCACAGCGATGAGATCTATTGCCGTGAGTCCTGCTGCAGCCACCCCCAATGCCTTCTTCTCATGCCATACCTCGACCATTCCTGCCCACTCCTACCCTTTCATTGTCCCATGGCCCTACCTTCTCCAGCCCTGCTTCTGTTTTGCCAGTCTCATAGCCGTGTCTTTTGGTTCTTCCTGTCTTTGCCATTGGAATTCTTGGCAGGCAGATGAGTGTCTGTCAGCGTTGGTAGATAGTGGTGCAGGGCCACTTGATGCTCTCCAGATGGGACAGCTTCTGTGGTGACTGTGACCACCCAGGCAGCCCCTGAAAGCCTGGACCTGGCCTGGCCTCCAGCTGATGCCCACTCTCCTTACTACAGGATGCAATGCCACCAACCAGTTCATGTGCAAGAACAAGTTCTGCAAGCCCCTTTTCTGGGTCTGTGACACTGTGAATGACTGTGGAGACAACAGCGATGAGGAGGGGTGCAGTGAGTGCCCTGGGGCAGTGGTGCTGTGCTTTCCCAATGCCTGCTTGGCCCAAGCAGGCCAGGCATGCTGAGGGTTGCTAAGACCTGTGCTTCCTCAGGTTGTTTGGCTGGGAATTTCAAGTGTTCCAATGGGAAGTGCCTCCCTCAGAGCCAGCAGTGTGATGGGAAGGACAACTGTGGGGATGGTTCCGATGAGGCCTCCTGTGAGAGTGGTGAGACCCAGCCCCTCCTGCCTGTCTTTCTGAGGGGTTGGGGTGCTTTTTCCCACCAAAGCTGTACCCAAAGGCCAGCAGCAGGCTCACATAGAATGTACCTAGAGTTTATAAACCTAAACTTCCAAGTCTGGGGAGAATCTTCTAGAAGGTGGAGAACCTATAGCTGGATTGACAGGACAGTGGGCATGGAAGTGGTGGCTGGGGCCAGCAGGGGTACAAGGTGCAAGATAGATGGATGATGGTGTGCCATCCAGGATTTTCTGGTACTGATCTTAGTCTCTGGTTGCTGTCAGGAAATTGATTCTCTGCTCTGTGTCCTTGAACAGTGAATGTTGTTTCTTGTACCAAACATACCTATCGCTGCCACAACGGGCTCTGTTTGAGCAAGGGCAACCCTGAATGTGACGGGGAGAAGGACTGTAGTGACGGCTCAGATGAGAAGGACTGTGGTAAGAAGGCAGCCATGCATGGTGGGGCAGGTTGTTAATTGTGCAAGGTACTCAGCTGAGAGTGCACCCAGAGGTAGAAATCCCACCAGGACCTCAGTCACCCAGCTTTGCCCACTGACAGGGCACATCTGTCTGGAGTTAAAAATGACTTTGCAACATGGCATAAGGATGTTGCTCCATGGGTAGCCAGCATGTCAGCACCTCTGTGACACAGCTGCCACAATGGCTGCTCCATAGGTAGCCTTGGATGAGTGGCTTGGAGGAAAGGGGGCCCAGGTGCCCTGAGCACCAGTAGGGTTTTGCCCTCACCCATCCATCTTAACCTGTAGGCTATGTGTCCCAGAAGTGCTGGCTGGGTTGCCTTCACGTCTCTAAGGCACTCTTTCCTCTGAGCTATGTCCCTTAGCATTGGGCAAGAAAATCTCGGCAAATGGCACCCACAGAAAGCCTGACCAGACCCGCAGACTTGGAGCCTCATGCACTTGTGTAATATGGCAGGAGGAGGGCAAAAGGAGGGTGAGGGGAGGGTAGAGTCTGAAACTTGGGGCCTTCTTCCTTGGTACTGCTGTGCACATCCAGGGTGATTCCCGTGTTCTGACTCCTGTGTCTGGAGCGTGTCCTCTTGATGTTGAGTGGCCTCACTTTGATTCTCATCCTTTGGTTCTCTGTCCTCTCTCCAGACTGTGGGCTTCGGTCGTTTACCAGACAGGCTCGGGTGGTTGGTGGCACGAATGCAGATGAGGGCGAGTGGCCCTGGCAGGTGAGCCTCCATGCCCTGGGCCAGGGCCACTTGTGCGGTGCCTCCCTCATCTCTCCCAACTGGCTGGTCTCTGCAGCTCACTGCTTTATGGATGATGTAAATTTTAAGTAAGTATCTGGGTATACAGTGAGGTCCCCTGTATCCAAATCATGCCAGGGTGGGCTGGCACTAGAAATGGGTGATGGGGGGGTACTGGAGGGACTTAGTAACAGTCCCAATAAAAATTCACTTTTAGCAGGTGCTAGCTCTCAGTTGAGTCCTCTCTGTGCCACCCCTAGGCAGGTCTGTATATGCCCCAATTTACAGAAACTGGGACTTGGAGGAAAAAGGGTATTTGCTCGAGGTTGCATGGCTCAGTGGCAGAACCAGACTTAAGCCCTGGTGCAAATTCCAAAGCTTGTTTTGTTAATTTCTGTGTTGCATGCTCCTTGGGATTGGTTCATGATGAGCCTTGGATTCAGGCTCCAGGTCTGGTTTGCAGGTGGCCTTGGGCAGGTTATTCAAATTTCTAGATACTGGTGATGTGATACTGTGAGTTCTCATCTTTGAGTCAGGAGACTGAAAGATGATAATGTAGTTTTGACACAGCACTGTGCCTTTAACACTCTAGGTGTTACAAGTCTACAGGGAAGGGTCATATTGGTGACCCAGGACTAGGCTGGTAGGTACCAGAGTTTTGGAGGTTAGAAAATTAGGAGGAACAGGTGGTCAGGCATGGAGTTGGGCTATTAGCTGCTGGCTTTCTGGCCATTGGCCACAGGAGGAATCTAAGGGGACTACTTGCTCTCAGAAAGCAGGCGCAGGGCAGTTCCTATTGGAAGGAAGGTCTGATTTTCCTGCTGGCTGCATGCTTTTCTGCAGTAGGCAGTTCAAGGGCAGGTGACCCATGCTGCTGTGACCACCCTTTTGCGGAGAGGAGAGTTGGAGTGGGGTGTCCACCAGAAGGAAGCAGAAGGCATAGACGTTGGGAAGTCTGGCAGGTGTGGTGAAGACAGCAGTGTGGAGAGCACAGCCTACTTACTTGCCCTGGGCCTCTCTTGGCTGTTGACCTCAGCCTTGTCTGGTTTGACACACTTTTCACCCTGGTTTGATCACACAAAGCAGGAGGATCAGAAGTCAATGTTATTTATGACTACATAGTAAGTTCAAGGCTAGCTTGGGATACATGAAATTGTCTCAAAAAAAAAATTAATACGGTCAACATCTCTTGGTACCTGGGTGATATGTGTGAATAAGCTTTGGCCTCTCTATCTTATAGACTTGCCAGGATGGAGGAGGAAATATACATACATTTTCATGTACACACACATATACACAACATGTGCAGGCATACACACACAGTGAGGGCTCTGCCGATCAGTTATGGTCTACATTTGGCCCAGTGGATGTTTAGTGTTCACCCAAAAGGCCCAGGAGGGTGTCTGTTGGGGAATGACTTTAAGAGCAAGGCCTCTGAGCAGAGTGGTAAAAGATGTGTGTGTTGGTCAGCTGGGTCGGGTGGCTCAGACCTCCAGACAAAGGAAGTGGTGTGCACAGAGGTGTGATTGTGAAGTTCCTCTCAATGCTTTTCTGAGTCAGCAGGTGCTCAGAGGGTGTCAGTTGTGCTGCCAACGTGGTGTGGTTGAGTGTAGCCTGCCTGAGACTTAGCAACCCATTATTCAGCCTCTGGGTCCTATCCTTGCCTTAGTGCCCTTGTAGGGCACTTTGATGGCTAAACAATTACACAAGTCAGCCCTCAAAAGAGCACTGACTTCCTTGTAAGGTCCATCTGAGTGAGCAATGACTGGGCAGCAGCAGACTGACACCAGGTGGTCACCGGGGAAACTTCAGTGGGTACATGCTGCCAGTACATGTGATACTCTGCATGGAGGTCAGCTTTCCATCACTGGGATGAATGCCTGAGATCAGCCCATAAAGAGAAAGGGCTGGTATGGCTCATGGTTTTGGAGGTACCAGGCCATGGCTAGTAAATACATTACTTTTAGGTCTGGGGTGGGGAGAGTACCCCAGGGGGCAATGGTGGGAAGCTCGGGACAGAGCCAAACTGCTCACCTTGTGCCTGGAAATGAAAGAGGAAGGAGAGAGCAGTGTCCTGCCCTAGCCACCTGAAGACCTTCCACCAGGCCACATCTGAAGTTTCCACCACCTCCCCACAGGGCCACGTTGGAGATCCAACCTTCAGCATATAGGCTTTAAGGGAACGTTTCAGACCCAAACAGCACTGTGTTTGGTGGTATAATCAAATACTGTTCTAGCTGGATAGTGTTGGCTTTAGGGAAAAGATTTCAGTGTGAGGGTTAGAGAGAGAATGAGAGCAGCTGCCAGGGCTGCCAGGTGAGCAGGGCCTGGTTTCAGAGGGAAGAGGTGGAAGCCTCAAGATCAAGCAAAGAGTTTGTCTTTTTGAGACAGGGTCTCCCTATAGCCCCAGGTGGCCTGGAACTTGCTATGTAGACCAGGCTGGCCTCGAACTCACAGAGATCCGCTGGCCTCTGCCTCCCGAGTGCTAGGATCAAAGGTGTGCACCACTAAGCCCGGTTTATTTTTCATCTCTTCTTTTTTTGAGAGTCCCATGTAGCCCAGGCTGGCTTCTAACTCACTATGTAGCTGAGGCTGGCGTTGAATTCTTGATTGTCCTCCCTCCACCTTCTAAGCTTTACTTTTGTCTTTGCATGTGCACTTTGGTTTTGGAGGACTACTCCTGAGACACTGTGGTCAGTCTGTGCACAGCCTGTCCTTGTCTGTGCACATGCTGTCCTTGATCCACAATATGAAATCAACCATTCCTCCAAGGAGCCTTGCTTCCTTTTCATGGGGAAGGCCATTTGAAATGGAGTCCTGGGTGGCCCTGGGGGTGGAACTGCTTTTAGGCCGATGCAGTGACAGCTGGCCTCCCTCTTCATAGTCATATCTTTCCTACACTGGAGGTTGGCTCCCAGGCATCATTGTGTATTAGCTTCTCTACTGTCCTTGTATATGATACAGTCTTGCTACATCCATCCCCCGCTAACAACTAACCTTGCAAAGATAATAAAGCTCAATCAACTTTTCAATTCATTTGCCATGTTCAAAATTATTTGGGTTGATTTTTTTGTATGTGTTATTCCTTCTGAGTTGTCGGTTTCATAAGATTTTTTTTTTTTAATTCTCAGATTTAAAATTTATTGAAAGGGAAAAAAGAGGTATTGCTTAGCAAAGTATCTGGCTGAAGGTAAAGCCCAAGTAAGAACTATTTAGTTACCTGGTCCTTGCGGATTTGTTATGGTGAGCAGTCTTCTGAGTCCTTGTGTGAACTCAGAATGCTGCCTTGTATACACATACCCATCCACATGCATCCTTGCACAGAATTGTGACTGCCCTCCCTTCTCTGTCCCATCTTAGATACTCAGACCCCACGATGTGGACGGCCTTCCTGGGTCTGCTGGACCAGAGCAAGCGCAGTGCCTCTGGGGTGCAGGAACACAAGCTCAAACGAATCATCACCCACCCCTTCTTCAACGACTTTACCTTTGACTATGACATGGCACTGTTGGAGCTGAAGAAACCTGCCGAGTACAGTACCGTGGTGCGGCCCATCTGCCTGCCTGACACTTCCCATGTCTTCCCTGCTGGCAAGGCCATCTGGGTCACAGGCTGGGGCCACACCCAAGATGGAGGTGAGCTTCAGGCTGGGCCCAGGACCTACAGAGAGCCTCAGACCTCCTGAGAGGCCATAGGGCCTGTGCACCTGCAGCCTTTTGGTGTCAGGCCCTGTCTGCATGGAGTTCATTCTGGTTTAGGGCTGGTGGGTTACTTTAAGACTGTGCTTTTGACCGGGCATGGTGGCTCACACTTTTAGTCCCAGGACTCAGGAGGCAAAGGCAGGCAGATCTCTGTTGGTTCAAGGCCAGCGTAGTCTACATAGTGAATTCCAAGTCAGCTGGGGCTATAGGGAGACCCTGTCTCAAAAAGACCAAAAAAAAAAGACTGTGCTTTTGTTTTTGGGTTCTGCTATTTAACTACCTGAGTGACCTTGAGTGAATTGCTTAATATCTTAACTGTGGTTATTCATCTGTTAAATGAAGAAGCAAGCAAGTGTGTGAACTCCAGTGGGGATGCATTTTGTGACCAGAAGAAATTGAGCTGGGCAGGCATCTTAACCCATCAGGGGTCCCCTTATGCTCTATGGAGGGCAAGCAGTTCCTAAGCAAGCAGGTTGAAAAGCTCCATTACAAGATTAATGCAGTACATCAGTGAAAATGTGCAGCAGAGGAAACAGTAAAATCCTGCCTACCTCACTGACTGAATGCTGTGGCATTTGGTAGCACCTTTGATCTCCTGCGGCTCTCCTGCCACCTTTTACCTTGGTGTATATTTGCCAACCGATATGTTTCACCGGGCAGCCTGGTTTCTCTCCAAGCCAATATCCGACCCTTCTACGTGCCGTCAGCTACAGTACCCATTTATCTATCAGCTGCAGGCACTTGGGTTGTTTCCAAGTGTTGCTGGTAAACCTGACCGGTGGGGAGCATCTCCAATGAGCCTCCTCCCCTGTCCACGCCTCGCCTCTGTACACTTAGCCTGACTGCTGCCGTGGCCTGCTCTCTCCTCAGGCACCGCAGCAGTGATCCTGCAGAAGGGTGAGATTCGTATCATCAACCAGACCACCTGTGAGGGCCTGATGCCACAGCAGATCACCCCTCGGATGATGTGCGTGGGCTTCCTCAGCGGGGGTGTGGACTCCTGCCAGGTGAGTGGGCTGGCCAGGGAGAGGCAGGGCCGGGAGAGGTGGGGCCAAGAGAGGCTGTTACCTGTCTGGGAGAGGTGAGGGTTTGGGAGAGGAAGTGGGGAAGAGGTGGGGAAGAGGCAGGACTAGGGAGAGGCTGGGCCGGGGGAGGGGAAGGTGAGACTGGGAGAGGGAGAGGCGGAGCCTAGAAAGGAGGGAGCTACCGGGAGGCTGGGCTAGGGAGAATTGGAGCCGAGGAGAGGCGGAGCTGGGGAGGGGGGAAGCCAGCTGGGCTTGGGAGGGGGCCAGCCTAGGCGAGGGCTTTACCACAGTTTGTTTCTACCTAGGGTGACTCTGGGGGCCCCTTGTCCAGCGTGGAGGCAGATGGGCGAATCTTTCAGGCTGGTGTGGTGAGCTGGGGTGAAGGCTGCGCCCAGAGGAACAAGCCAGGCGTGTATACGAGGCTCACTGTACTTCGGGACTGGATCAAAGAGCAGACTGGGGTCTAGAGGCAGGGACTGCCCACCATGAACACCGCGCGCTGCCCCAACACGCACATCTGGAGACTGAGGACCGGACCACTAAGTACATTTCTGCCTTGGCCTTCTCTCCCAGAGCCCAGACTGTGAACTGCATACCCAGGACTCAGAATCCTTCCCTCAGCTTTTAAAGTGGGGCCAGGAGGTGGGGGAGAGAACTGTGGTGCCATTGCCTAGCTGGGGACAATGATTTGATGGCAGCCTCCCTCTCCAGCCCCAAGCTGGGCGAAGATTCTTTCCTTTGATTGCAAGGACCTGTAGCTGTCATAGAGCCCCTGGGACTCTGGTGGGTGGATGTGGTGATGCTGCAGGCTCTTAGGGTCACCTCCAGGAAACTCCATCCCCTGGGACCCTGGAAAACAGGAATCGAAGACTCTAATTGTTTTTGCTAGTACCCAGGGTGGGTATTTGTGTAAAAGTAAAACATTTTGTTTCTTTTTAGGTAATTTGTTTTTCTTGCTGGCTTGACTCCTTTCCTCCCTTCAGTTAATAGTTACCTTGTAGGAAACTGGTACTAAATTTATCTGAGGACAGATCCTGGTGTAGGATTGAGTGGGGCCCACAGTGCCCTGTCTTCCTCAGGCCAAAGGTTGTTTTCAGAACTAGGATCTGGTGCCTCAACTGGCCCTGCATGTGAGTCAGGAGGTAGCATCAGGGAGTGGCATCAGGTAGAGAGAGGGCACTGCAGCTGTCCAGGCCTCGTTCAAGGGTGTGATTTTGCATTTGGTGGGGAAGTGGCTGCACAAGCTATGTGTCCACAGGGTGTCATCCACACAGGGTGTGTGTATGTGTGTGAATTGGCTTTCCAGCATGGCCTGTGGGATGGGTCTCAAGGCTGTAGAGGAACGATGCTGCAATGCTGAAGGGTGCCCATACCTCCTGTGGTGTCCCTTTTTAAAGTTTTAAATATTCTCTCCCTGCTTGGGTTGGCCCAGGGAGGCAGTTCCACAGATCTTTTGAAAGGCCATTAGAGGTTTCCTGGGGTCCTACATGAGCTGAGGCTGGAGAAGAGGAGTGGCCCTGGGCAGACTTGGCTTTGCCTGTCAGTTATTACCAGCTGAGGTCTCCTGAGCTCCTAGATACTGCTGAACTTTGCCCCCAGTGATTTTTGAAAATGAAAGGGAAGACAGTTATAACCTGATCGGAACACCAGGCAAGACTCTCAGAAGAGGCGGTGCTCGTACTGTCTTTGATTTTAACCCCAGTGTTTACCATCTTGAGGGAGAGCGTTATTTGTGCAGGAAGTCACATCAGGAGACTTGAGTGCAGTCTGAGCCATAGAAATGTCATTCCTTTTCTCTTGATATGGTTGCTCCCTACTGCTGGTGTGGGACAGAAGGGTCAAATGTGGCTATTGAGCTAGGATTGTGAAGGGAGGACAAGCCATATGGCACCTATGTGGGTGTACATGAACCTGAACAGATAGGGCATAGCCTGCTTGTACATGTGCTTGCCCACACAGTGAGTTCTGGGAGATAGGCCCAGCATGGGCTACACACATAGCACCTCCCTGTCTACCAGAGCTGCAATCCATAGTGAGAATTCCCTGCCTGAGGTGAGGTTCATAGGAAGGGCTGACAGAAGACTACAGGAAAGTGCCTTGTTCTGACCTTGCCAGCTCTAGCTATGCTGTTCCAGGTGAACCTTCATCACTCGCTATTTTCCACATAGGAGCTAGTTATCCTTCAGGGCTACCCTATACTCACCAGGACCCTTAGTGGGAAGTCTTGGGTAGAGACCACAGTCCTGGCAGGAAATCAAAAGCTCACTTTGGATTGATAGTCATGTTTAGTCCCTAGGAAATCAACGATGCCTTTAAAAAACAGTTATGGAAGCCGGGCGTGGTGGTGTATGCCTTTAATTCCAGCACTCGGGAGGCAGAGGCAGGCAGATCTCTGTGAGTTCAAGGCCAGCCTCGTCTACATAGTGAGTTCCAGGACAGCTGGGGCTACAGAGAGAGCCTGTCTCAAAAAGACCAAACAAACAAACAAAAACAGTTATGGAAGATTGGCAAGATGGCTCAGGTCTGATGACCTGGGGTCTATTCTAGAAACCAACATGGTGGAAGGTGAGAACTAACTCCTGCAAGTTGTCCTTTGAAATTCACACCCATGCTAAGACAAACACACACAACAAATAAACATAATGAAATAAAATTATTTAAAATATGATTATGGGACCAAACCTGGCATTTCTATTGGCAGATTGGAATAGGCTAAGCACCCATAACTAGCAGAGTTCAGACTTACTATGGAGGCTCATTGATAAACAGCTAAAGGCAATAAATAAATGAAGACAAATAAAGACAAGTCACTAGCACCGTCAAAGTGTCAGGGGTGATGAGAGGTGCCACAGCATTGTGGAGGACTTGGCTGCATAAACCTGCAGTGGTATTGGGTATTGGCCCATCTTTTCTTCACTGGGGCAGGCTGGGGAGGAACTCATGGTCAGAACTGTTATACACACATTTTCATTTTCAAGAACTCAGCTCCAAGCATGTGACAGAAAATTCAATTTAACTAGTGCAGCCTGCCATGGTTGTGGCTTAGTCCATGGTGCAGAGCCTGGAACAAATACCACATTCTTAGACCTTTCACTGTCATTGCAGCCTGAGGGCAAGGTGTTGACCACTAGAGTCCTTTGCCCCACCCCAAGCAGCCAGGCAGGGCTGCCTCCCTTGTCCCTGCACAGCAATAGGCTCCAAACACAGAGGGCCCAGCAGTTGGTTGTGTGCCACCTGTTGCCTTTGAACACCGGTCCACACATTTCATTTTGCCTCATGGATTGTGTAGCTAGCCCTGCAGCCTGTGCATCTGGCCATCCCCTGGAGCAGCATGATGTGGAGTTGTAGGATGACAGGTGAGATGTAGAGTCCAGTGTCTAGCCTCCCAGCTAGTGCCCCATTGCTGGCCCTGAGTGATGTGAAGAGGCATCACTCGCGGCTTCCCTGTGCAGGTAACCTGTGTGCAGCAGCCCAGGCCTCACAGGGACAGTCAGCCTTGTGACTTGCCCCACTAGCTCAGTGCACACTGTAGTCTTCCCTGCTGACCCAACTGCCTTTTGCCTCTCAACTATTTCAGTCACTGATCAAAAACCATTGGAAGTTAATAAACTCGGGATCCTGCGTGCTGCCTCCACAAAGACTCCTACTCAGATCTACGGTCTGAAGGAGACACAATGAAATGGGTTAGTGAAGGATGACTTCATAGAACTGGTGAAGAAGTTTCATATCCTGGGTTCAGGTTTAGGTCTCCAGAGACCCAAAACCACTGAGCTAGAAGGGCTGGGAAGCTGTCATTCAAGTTCCTGACCACATGGTGGCGATATTGCACTGTAACAGGTGAGAACCGTTTTCTGTCTTCCAATTTCTAGTTATCTTTCAGTGCTATGCAATTGGTTACTGTCTTGGAGTTAGCTTCAAAAAGTCCAAGCACAAAGCCTTTTCTCTAGTCAGTCCTTCAGCCCTACTAGAGTCCAACGTACCTTGGTCTGCAGGCAGGGCCTGCTGACCCTCAGCGTCTGAACTTGGGTAGACCATTACCAGGCAGGCTCAAAAGATGGTTCTTAAGAGTGTAGGGAGCAGAGGTGTGACTGTATTAGATGCGTCTATAGGTGGCAAGCAGAGATAAAGCAAGGTCGTGTGAGACACAACAGGCACCTGACACAGCTCGGTTCTAGTGTCTACACCACATAGGAATGTCTGTTCACACTAGGGATGGGGGGATTATAGGGATGTGTTTGGATCAAGCTCTCACCTAGCATGTAAACTGAGCAGAAAATATCAGAAGAAATTGACCTGGCTGTGGCACTAGGATACCCTCTCTGTCCCCATAGGGACATGCAAAGTACCTATGGATAAGTCTATTGATAAAAATTTTACTTTCCAGGCTTGGAGTCAGAGCCAGACTCTCTGTCTCTGTGTCTCTCTCATCACCTGCAACCACATGTAGAAGAAACTGGATCTTCCAGCTAGTGGAGTTTTTGGAGTTGTAAAGTGATAGGAGAATCCAGAAATTAATAAAGAATGGCATCTCCTAAGTTTACCTTTTCTTTTTTGGGTTTTGAGCTGGGGTCTTGCTATGTAGCTAAGTTTGGCCTTGAACTCTGATTCTCCTGCTTCAGCCTCCCCCAGGTGTAGATTACAAGTGTGTGCCACCATGCTGCCTTCCTGAGTGTTCTAAGTGGTCTCTGTGTTGTGTTTTATTTAAGCCTCACGACAATCCTGTCATTCCCACTTTATAGTCAGAAAAACAATGTGCCAGAACTTTGAATTCCCAAAGTCCACTCTTGGGGAATAGTGAACTTAAGATCTGAACACTGTTGATGCAGCCCCAGGACCTGTACTTGGATGCTTTATACTATCCACATGTACCATTCACATACTATCACTTTCCCATGAAGAAAGGAAACTTTAACATGTAAAGTGAAGGTAGATCATACTTAGTATAAGTCTGTTGAAGGATTTTAATTTTGAGGCATCCCTTTTTTTCCCCTTGCATACCACAGAAACTGCCGCAGGGCAGCTGAGAGGTGTGGATCAGCATTTGGGAACTATTATTCCTCCAAGCATGAGCTGTCCTTCTGAGAGAGCTGACAAACTTCCCACAGAGATCTTGTACTTGTAAGTTTCCTGCCAAAAGGCTTGTTTTTCAGGAGGGGCTTGCTCTAGGCTGGTCATGCACACAAAGCCTTTGGCTTTACCATTCTGGATAGAATGGGGGTACGGGTGTCTATCTAGTGATTGTCAATAGCCTTGGTCCCACCTCAGTTTGCCCAGTGAGGATGGTGGGTTGCCAGGAGACAGTAGGTAGGGTTAACAGCTACCTCAGGGCAGGCCACTTGGGGGGTGGACTTCTGCTGGGTGACAATCAGGAAAGGAGTTTGGGAAGCCACGGAATACCACTAGGAATGATATGATCAAACCTGAAACAAGAATGGGAATATTTCTCGCCTGGTTGTACATCTTGGAATTGCCTAAAAGATGGTCCTTCCACAGGATGACAAGCATGGCACTGACAGGTCTAAGGGACTGGCACACGTGCTTGCAACCCCACTGCCAGCAGGTGCCTTTGACAGCCCTGGGTCTGCTCTGGGGATGACTTCTCTAAGTTCATGACAGAGACAGAGGAAACAGGGACATCAAAAGGGATGTGGCAAGCAGCCCAGCTGTACAGAGGTTGACCCTGTGCCTCTGTTCTACCCCACATTGATGTACGTCACACTAATTTGTTCGGTCTATAGGCCTGCAGTATTTAATGAAGCCATCTTAACTCGGGGTTTCAATGAAGCTCCTTGTCCTTCTGTCCCCACCCCCTCCTCCATTCCCTAGTTCCACCATCCTGCGCCTGCAGCTGTACATTCATTGCCCTTTCCGATCACCTCCCTTCGTTTCCAGGCGTAGGTGTCCTGGCCCCATTGTCTGTTCGTTCCACTGTCTCAGC